TCTTCTTCTTCTTCTTCTTCTTCTTCTTCTTCTTCTTCTTCTTCTTCTTCTTCTTCTTCTTCTTCTTCTTCTTCTTCTTCTTCTTCTTCTTCTTCTTCTTCTGAATGCATTGAAACTCCAGCTCCTGCTGCAGTGCCCAGACAGGAAGACTGGAAGTGGGCAGGGGGGAGAAATATCACTGAGATGGGGAAGGGGGGCCTCCCGAGGCAGACGCAAAACCCCCGCGCGGTTGGTTCAGGAAAGGGGTTAATTGCTTTTTTTGCCAGGAGGTGTCCAAGGCAATGAACAGTCAATGAAAACCCAAAGCGCAACGCTGCAGTAAAAACAGCAGTTGGTTAAAAACCACAGAAACCCGCAAGATGCATTGTCTTGTGGAAATCTTGAGCAAATGGCCTGACTCCTCGTAATGAGGCAGCATCTCTGAGCGTCTAGATCTCTTGAGGAAGCCCTGCTGCTCCAAACCCCAAGTTTTTCACGCAGTTTAGGTAAGGAATCCCCAGCGAAGTCCTCCCTAGCCGATCTTAAAAGACTAGTTGGGTCCACATCCCCAAAGACGTTAGGCCAGTATTTCAGATTTCTGCCACACTGCACCTTTGAGTGCTAACACAAAGCGAAGGCCTGCTGTAGTCACTTCCTAACGGAGCACTCGAATTGCTTGAAAAATGTACAAAGCTCCCCTTCTCTAGAGACAAGAGGGCACCCGCCTTCTGTATCTTTCGTGTCAGACTTTAGCGTGCTGGACAAGAGGCTTGAGAAACAGAAGTCGGCGTGCCTCCAGTAAGGGCAGGAGGGAGTCGTACCCGTAGTGATGGTTGGCCTGGAGTCGTCGTCTGCTCTTTAAACCTACCTCTGGAGATTTATTTCCTCTAGTAAGCCAATCTTGGACCTTTGCTCCTCAGCTTTTTGTTGGGAAGTACAACACCTGCACTCTGTGAGCAAGAGCAGCATGCGGTGCCTTTCCACTGTAATTCCAGACATAAATTGAGAGGGTTGTCTGTCCTTGTCCAAAGACCGTTCTCCAGCAAGGTCTTGCTTGAAAGCTCGCGGTGTGTTGTCGTAGCCGAAGCGATTCAGGTGAAGGGAGATTGCTCATAGGATGTTGAAATGTAGATTCTCCGGCTTCCAGAGCACCTAGTTACTGGATCCTAGGCTGGCAATCCCCTCTGTGACCTCAGTAGGGACCAAAGGGACACGAACTACCGACGGATCACCTCTGTGATCTCGGAACCGATCTGCCGAAGACCTGAAAAGGGGTCTCAGGGATGTGAAAATTTCGAGGGTCGATAAGAGCCTGGGAAAGGTTAGAGGAAGAGGGGGACTCTTAGGAAGGAGTTTTGAATGACGCTCGTTGCCTATTGTATATTGTGCTGCTTTTGTTGAATATCTGTGCCTCTCACTGTCTTTTGAGTGAAACTTACCCAGTAGGCTTCCGGGCAATTTCTATTGGCTCGATTTAGACATGAAGACCGTAGTTGTCCTTTTTGAGCGACGCTTCGATCCAGGGAAACCGTGGTGCGTTGCTGTGAACAAGAGCCGGAAGAGCTTCAGGCTTAGTCATGTGACCCTTGCTTTCCTCTCACGCTTCAGCTCATTCCCTGAGCTAATGTGTTGCTTTCACTCCCATGGCTAGCCTTCGTTTGCTGCGTGCCCTGCAAACCAGGGTTTGGTGTAGTGGTTAAGTGTGCGGTTAAGAGCCAGTTTGGTGTAGTGGTTAAGTGCGCAGACTCTAATCTGGGAGAACCACTTGCACCTGCTGATGTGACCTTGGGCAAGCCATAACTCTGGCACAGCTTGAAAAACAGCAGTTTCTGTCAGAGCTCTCTCAGCCCCACCCACCTCACAGGGTGTCTGTTGTGGGGAGGGGAAGGGACAGGAGTTTGTAAGCCGCTCTGAGACTCCGAGTGAAGGGTGGGGCATAAATCCAATCTCTTCTGCTTCTTCTGCTTCTTCCAGACACTGGACTGGTCCCCAGTTCGAACTGTGCTTTTGCTTATTTGGAAATAGTGGCAGACTGGCAGAAATCACTGTGGTGTAGAAGGGAAAAGGGAGCAGAGGTCTCCTTGTCTGATCCTGAAGTCCCTTCGAGGCTCTTTCATACTGTGGCAAACCAAGGTTATGTCCAAGCCAACCAAGGTTAGCTGTAACATGTCCAAAAGGCTTCATAGTCAGTCCCACAAGAGCCCTGTGAGGGAGGCCAGTATTTATCGTCCCCCTATTATGGACCTAAAAACTTACCTGATTTTCTGGTGCAGTCATAATTGAGGCAAGGGACTTCCTCGCTCACTCTCATCCAGTTTGGTGTCGTGGTTAAGTGCGCGGACTGTAATCTGGGAGAACCAGGTTTGATTCCCCACTCCTCCACTTGCACCTGGCTGGATGGCCTTGGGCAAGCCGTAGCTCTGACAAGAGCTGTTCTTGAAAAAAGAGCAGTCTCTGTCAAGAGCTCTCAACCCCGCCTACCTCACAGGGGTGTCTGTTGTGGGGAGGGGAAAGGGGTTTGTAAGCCGCTCTGCGACTCCTCTGGGTAGTGAAGGGCGGGGCATAAATCCAATCTCCTCCTCCTCCTCTTCTTCTTCTTGCTACACCAGCTTTAGCTGACTGATATTGCAATCCTCAGCAGAGTTATACCAGTCTAAGTCCATTGAATGGGCCTAGAAGGGTGTAACTCTGTTAAGGACTGCACAGTCCTTTGCCCTCTTCTCGATGGTTTACATCAATTTCAGGTGGTTGCAGCGATACGTTTAAGTTATCTTCCTTCTATGACCCTGGCAATGCTTCATAGTAGTACTGTTAATTGCACGCAACTTATGGAATACGTTCTGCTTTCTTTATATACATGCATGATAAAAAAAGGAAACAGCAGCATCTGCTCATCCTGAATGTGTGTTTTGTGTATACACACACACAGAGAGACGCATGCACACGTTTATCTTTCCAGTTAGTCAATAAATCTCTCTTTACAAGTTCCTGCTGTCTGCTCTCTGAGAGCAAATTTGCAGTTCAAAGAGGTGAGTCTGCAGCCGGAGCCCATTTCCTGCGAAATTATGGCTGCTCGTCAAGCAATCAGTTTCTACTTTGTTGTCTTCCCACCCTAGAGCAAGCCGGGGAGAACCTTGTAAGGCTTCTGTAGAATATTTTAGTGGTGCCTTCACCCGGCCTCGCTCCTAGCAATAGACCTGGCTCTGATTTCAGAGAGATTACTCCCCATGTAATTTCGACTTCGTGAACAAGGGTAGCATATTTCTAGGGAAATGTGTTTAGATATTCGTTAGAACATAAATCAACAGTTCCCAGGAATCTCCTCTGTGAGACCTCCTCCCTCCTGGTTCTAACTCTGGAATTGGAAAGGAAATGTGTTTATGCTCTCCGTCCCACTATCATTCTGTCTTGGCAGTATGGCTTCCGGGTTTTGGCAACTCACGTCTGAGCCCGAAACACAGCCCAGAAATTATTATAGTAAATAAGCTTTCCTCTTCTTTTTTCTGTGAATCAGAAGCAGGGGTCATCTCATAGAAAAAGAGGTGCAGGAGCTTATTAACATAACTCATTAGCATAACTTATTTGCATATGCCACACCCCCTGACGTCACCAGGAGTGTGTTAGAAGGCAGCACCCACTGCTCAGCCTCCACTGGACTGTTTTGGATTGCTAGCTATTGGGGGGGGGGGAACGTGCAGATCTGCCCTCACAGAGGAGGGAGAGTTTGTGCCTGAATAAAACTTGGTCTTAAAGGGGCCACTGGACTGTTTTGGACCGGGGGGCTGGGGGAGAGCTCTGCAACTTACCTGGCTGCTTCTTGCTCTGACTGAGGGCTGCTGGGAGCAGAGGGTGGGGCTTGTTGCATGTGCCTGTCCCCTGGACTCTTTATTGCCGGAGCTCCGCCCCTGTGCGCTCCGGCAGGAAATGACCCCTGATCAGAAGTATGCATTTGCAGCACAGATCTGGTGTTGTGAAGCTGCCGTTACTTTCTTGATTATAGGGTCCATAATAATTCTAGACCTTAACAAGTTAAGAAGTTACAAATATTTATTTGCACTACATATACGGGTCTTTCTCAGGATGTTTTCTAAATAGAAATGCAAACTGAGCAATGAAGCTCCAAGAACTTTAAGCTGTCAAACAGCTTGGTCTATAGACCTGCAACAACAAATAACAGAAGAACAATGGAACAAAATAACTGTGGCCCAGCTGGCCGGCGGGGAAGCCCCGCCTCCTAGAAGCCCCTCTCCCGGCGCCCCAGTGTGATGACATCACCCGGGCGTGACATCATTGTGTTTCCAACATCAGGGGCGATGCTCTAGGTTTTGGGCAAAACTATGCTTCTGAGCCCCGAAAAATCATACAGTTTTGCCCAAAACCTAGAGCATCGCCTCCAACGTCGGAAACGCAATGGCCCGCAGGAAGAATCGGGAGTTCCCCCCCCCCTTCGGCAGCCAGGGTAAGACCAGGCAACCCTGTCGAACGTGGCTGTTGTACTGCCAACCAACCAAGCTGCCCTCTGAAACTGTCAACAAACTGTGGTGCGTTGGTGGATGCTCAACTGTGGCATTAGACTGCCTTTTTTGCCATGCTGTCGAACACAGAAATTCCCAGATGTTTAGTAGTGCCACCCCCCCTTGGCCTCTGGCACAGAGAGACAGAAGCACAGAGCAACAGAACATCTGGCTGCCGCTGCTGCATTTAGCTGGAGGGGTGCTTTTTCGAGTCACTTCCTCCTTCAATGTCTCCATGTCCCTTCTCCCTTCTCACGAAAGCTGGACTCAAACTTCGTTCTCCTGCTTCAGACCAACATGGCTACCCGCCTGAATGTACCCTGCGTTACACGCATTGACTCAACATGGGGAGGGTGATCAGCAATGTTCCCTGTAAGCTGTGGGGTCGGGTGAGCAAAAATTCTACTTTGTGGACTACTGGCATTAAAGTGGTGAGCGAGAGATTTGGCTCCTGCATCAATTAGTTTGCTCTGGAGCCCTCCTTCCTGAGCTGAGACAAAAATCTGTGAGCTGGAGGCTGAAAAACTGTGAGCTGGCTCACACTAACTCATCTTAGAGGGAACACTGGTGATCAGGCACAATCTGCTCCACAGATGTTTCGAGGCTCTTTCTTGAAAACGGGATGTGTCTCTGAACCCCGCCCCCACCGTCAACGTGGTCCCCCATCCCATTTAAATGCATGTCGCCATTTTATTCTTTTTTTTCTTCTTCTGTTGAAGGTCTGTTCCTCTTTCCAGATGGGTCCAACTCAAGCGTACAACAGCCAGTTCATGAACCAGCCTGGCCCTCGTGGGCCGGCTTCCATGCCGGGCAGCATGAACCCAGCCACCATGGGAGCGGGCATGACGCCTTCCAATATGAGCGGGCCCCCTATGGGCATGAACCAGCCCAGGCCACCTGGAATGAGTCCCTTCAACCATGGGCAAAGGATGCCACAGCAAGCCTACCCTGGCCCACGCCCCCAGTCTTTACCCATGCAGGGCATGAAGAGACCGTATCCGGGAGAGGTGAGTAGCCGCAGAATCATAAGAACATAACATAAGAACATAAGAGATGCCAATGTTGGATCAGGCCAAAGGCCCATCCAGTCCAACACTCTGTATCACACGGTGGCCAGAAATACCAGTGCCATCAGGAGGTCCACCAGTGGGGCCAGGACATTAGAAGCCCTCCCACTGTTGCCCCCCCAAGCACCAAGGTGACAGAGCATCACATGCCCCAGAGCCCCTATCTATACCTTGTGGCTAATAGCAACTGATGGACCTCTGCTCCATATGCTTATCTAATTCCCCCTTGAAGCCGTTCATGCTTGTAGCTGCCACCACCTACTGGTTGTTCCCTTCTGGTTCTTCTGCAAACAAGAATAATCATAGACTTTTGTAAAGTGGGCATGTGACAACCTCCTGTGGCTCAGTGGCAGAGCACCTACTTTGCAGGCAGAAGGTCCCAGGTTCAATCCCAGGCATCTCTAATTAAAGATCAGATGTGAAAGACCTCCTCCCGAGACCCTGGAGAGCTGCTACCACCCTGAGTAGACCGTACTGACTTTGATGGACCAAGGGTCTGGTTCAGTAGAAGGCAGCTTCATGTGTGTTCATTCTTGACCCATCCCACCACAAAACGTCCTTGGTCAAAGTTAGTCATCCCTTCAGTGGTTAGGAGAGGAGGAGCCTAAACTTCCAAGATGTTATGAACTGCAAGAAATTTCCAAGGAAGGAAATCCAAGGAATTTGGATTGGCACCCAGGCGACACTAGATAGCGACTCACATTTTTAGCTTGAACTCGATTTTGTAGATTATTAACAGCGCTGTCCTAAGAACAGTGGTCCTGGGAGTGAGGCCCCCCCCCTCGAGTCAGTGTGAGTAGGATTCTGAAGATGGCACTGTACGCATAATAGTGAATACCGCCGTGCTTTAGGTCTACAGAATGTGATCTGTTGTTAAGAGGCACATGGGTATTACAATGGAAGTCACTGTTCATGCAGCATTTGAAAGTGTGTAATGAATGCTGAGTAGGTTATGCTTGCGTATTTCTTATTCAAGGTGTAAGCTTTTGTGTGCAAGGATATTTCTTCAGATACTGAAGAAGTATCTGAAGAAGTGTGCTTACACACGGAAACGTACACCTTGAGTAAAATGTTATTGGTCTTAATGGTGCCACTGGACTCCTCCTTCAAGGATGCTGAGTAGGTTATGCTTGCGTATTTCTAATGGGAACATTACGGTCGGAGTTAAGGACGTTTAAATCCTGATAGTAAATCCAACCATCCTCCAGGAATATATTTAGGCGGGTCGCCATGCTGATCTGAAGCAGCAGAGCAAGGTTTTAGTCCAGTGCTGAGTAGGTTATGCTTGCGTATTTCTTATTCAAGGTGTAAGCTTTTGTGTGCAAGGATATTTCTTCAGATACTGAAGAAGTATCTGAAGACGTGTGCTTACCCACGGAAACTTACACCTTGAGTGAAATGTTATTGGTCTTAATGGTGCCACTGGACTCCTCCTTCAAGGAGATTTTCTCCAGTGGAACAGCCACAAGCTCTGTTCCCTCTAAGCTGAGTTAGTGTGAGCTAGCTCACAGTTTTTTAGCCTCCGGCTCACAGATTTTTGCCTTCGCTCAGGAAGGATGGGGCTCCAGAGCCAACTAATCTATGCAGCAACCAAATCGCTCGCTCACAACTTTAATGTCGGTAGCTCACAAAGTAGCATTTTTGCTCACAAGACTCCACAGCTTAGAGGGAACATTGGCCACAAGTTGACGGAAGTCTTCCTTAGGCTGGAGAAAGGCTTCAGACTTTAGCTAGAGAGGTAGTAGGATATGGTTAGGGTAAAGATCCACCCCCAAAGTTATCACAGGTGAGATCTAAGGATGTTTTCTAATATGTTGCATTGACATGTATGGAACTTCCATTTGCCTTTAACTGCCCTCTAGGTCCTGCGTTTGTAAATATGTCTCTTGTGCTGTGCAAAGATCTGTTGCATTCAATGAGTGGCAATATTTTAAAATCTATTTTTTTATTATTATTTCATTTACATACAGCCAAATTATGGAAACCAGCAATATGGACCAAATAGCCAGTTTCCATCCCAACCTGGTCAGTATCCAGCTCCCAACCCTCCAAGACCCCTCACGTCACCCAACTACCCGGGACAAAGGATGCCAAGCCAGCAAAACACAGGGCAATATCCTCCTCCGACGGTCAACATGGGACAGTATTATAAGGTGAGCGGCATCTTTTGTTGGTGGCCATCTCTCAAGGCCAGGGTAATTAATTACATCTAAGTATGGACCCTCCATTCTGAGGACTTTAAACATGTGTGATGGATCCATTAAAGTTTAACCGAAAGAGAACGTGTAGTAAATCACACTCCCAACAGATGGCTCTGATGCAGTTTGCAGAAGGAATTATTGTTTCAGTGTTAACGGTATGTTGCCCATTATGTGGCCATTAAATGCAGAAGGAATTATTGTTTCAGTGTTAACGGTATGTTGCCCATTGTGTGGCCAGTAAATGCACTGAAAGCCATACAGTTGCAACTCAGTAATATTTTCAAGGCATATAACAATGCCAAGAGAGTCGTACCAAACCCACAGTGCACCAACTATGTAAGGTTGAGCTGTAGGTAGATGAAGTGTTGTGCCACCGTGTGAATGGATGCGATCCGTTGGCTGTGTTGTTCTGCAGTCAAACTGGCTTTGTTTCTCTCCCATCCTGTTTCCTAAACAATTTGTAGAAAATGCGATCGGTTGATTTGCAATAACATTCCAAGCAGTTTTAATGCTTGCTCGAAAGGTACTTGTAGAATTCTCGTATCATAGAATTCCAGCAGGGTTCCCCACCTACAGGTGAGGCCTGGACATCTCCCAGGATTACAATTGACCTCCAGACTACAGATATCGGTTCCCCTGGAGACAATGGCTGATATGGCCTTCTACCTTGCTGAGGTCCTTCTTCTCCCAAAATCCCGCTGTCACAAACACGGTACCAGGCCAGGCGAGAGCAAGATAGGTCAAAGGCAGTCCAAAGTCAAAACCGGGCAAGCAGAAACACCGAGAGACCAAGTCCAAAATCACCAACTGTCGGAGTCGTCGTTAAAGCCAGAGTCCAAAGACGTCAGAAGCCAGGGAGTCGAAGGTCCGAGGTACAGGTCAGGAGCAATGTTCCCTCTAAGCTGTGGAGTCCTGTGAGCAAAAATTCTTACTTTGTGAGCCACTGGCATTAAAGTTGTGAGCGAGCGATTTGGCTACTGCAGAAATTAGTTTGCTCTGGAGCCCTCCTCCCTGAGCTAAGACAAAACTGTGTGAGCCGGAGGCTAAAAAACTGTGAGCTAGCTCACACTAACTCAGCTTAGAGGGAACACTGGTCAGGAGCGTAGTCGTACGAGCCAAGGTCAGGAGCCGAGAAGTCAAAAACGAGGAGTCGGAACAGGAACACGAGTGGTGAGGTGCAGAGCTTCGTCCAGAATGACTAGTTGCTAGCACAACTAGTCAGTGCGCGTGCGAGAGCTAAATAGCCCGTAAGGCTGTCGGCAATTAGCGCGCCCTGATTGTGTCCCGGCTCCCGCTAGTACTCAGGGCTAAAAGAGCACCTACTGCGCATGC